TTTGAGCTGACTATGCCCCTAAGTAAGGTTCATTTAGACAAGCTCTTTCAAGGCCTTTGGTCTAGAACCGGTTCTAGGCTATACAGCGAGGTGGACAAAGACGGAAATGTTAGTGGATGTGAAGAGAAATGACTCCACCGTGTGCTGCCTCCCCCACAACTTAGTTTCCTACCTGGTAGAACCCCCCACCCCCCATCACCTATCCTCGCCGTTGGGAACGCATCCATCTTTCAAGGTCATCAGTTGGGCAATCATCTTCTAACTACAGATGCTACATTGTGTTAATTCTTTCCTCATTTCACCGGCAAAGAATTATGAGCTGTGGGGAGGGCGGATCCTGGTCTAATTAATATGTGTAGCTCTCACGTCACCCGGAGTGAATGGATGAAGAAAGTAATTGATGTTTCTGTCACGTCACTCCTGGCCGATCAGGAAGTCAGACAATCTTAGGCGGTAGGGTTACCTGACTTAGCAAATCAACACACAGGCCGCCCAGGTATATTTGAATTTCAGACAAACAACCCATTTCTTTTTTTAGTCTAAGTACGTCCCATGAAATATTCACGACATATTTATCCTAAAAATTATTCGTTGTGCCCTACGTGGAGGGCAGGGCTCCCAGGGGCTCCCAGCTTCCTCCCAGCTGGAGCTCAGCATCTGGGCAATAGAGCGAAACCAAACCAGCCACGCAGCTTCCGCGGCTCCACCCGCAGCAGGGCAGAGCCACGCGACCGGGAAAGACGGACAGCCGGTTGGAAACCGTCACCCGGGAGTGGCCAGGGGGTCCCCACGCGGGAGGAAGGCTCCGTCTTCTCCCCGCATCTGGGATCGCCCGCACGACCCTCTAACTCGTGACCAGTTGTCACGGGCGAGGGGGCGGGGCTGCCCGGCTCTGCGATCGCTGTCTCCCATTAGAAGGGCTGCCCGCCCATCACGTTAGACCCGCCCATCATTACGTTAGACCCGCCCAGTAGACCGACGTGCGCGGGCCACGCCTCCCCCGCAAG